GCGACCTAAAGGATGATTACAATATGATCGTCACGATCACTACATAAGATAAGAAACTCTCCGAGAGGATCTGGATCAAACAACCACGAGTGCATTGTGGGATATTTATTATAATTGCAACGATCGCTACAATCTTTCAGGAATCGTTTCCATGTTATGGCAACGATAGCTGAACCTTTTTATTTCAAAGCGGTTGTAGCGCTCCAATGGAAACCAGACAATCACAAACCGTCCCACAAAATCTACTAAAATAAGTAAGAGTGCAGTGAAGATAATGCTTTAATAACTGAGTTTCTTGACATGGTTTCGTTACTTAAGTCCTGAGCTCACCTTCTTTGCCGTGGAAGCTCGGGAACTTTGTCTGCTGTCTCTGCAGAGAAAATAAAAACAAAATAAAGCAAACGAAATATTTAACCCTACATCTTCACTTAGGCAGTTGCTTGGTGATTACAAAAAGACATCTTAAAAGGGATTGCTTATTTCTCAGCTACCAGGCCAACGCTGTCTATTCATAGCTGTATATAAACTGAACAGATAAACAAAAACAAGTCTCTTTTCTAGAACACAAGAGGATTTCTAGCAGCTTCGCTGTTTGCATCCGGAGCCAAGCGCGTGAAAACTCGCGCTCGCCAAGTGAAGATTGTTTCTGATTGGTCAAAAAAGAACAGCTTGACTGCCGTGAATGGTAACAGTGCGCGGCTTGAATTTTTCAACCAATCACAGAGTTCGGCGAGCAAATCACCCGAGCAAGACACACAAACAATCCGCCAACAGACAATCAGCTAAAACCGTTCTTAACATTCATCAAAGTGCTTCTGCTACCGCATCAAGCAAATACCTTTCTTCGTTACAGTGGAATCCTCTTCGTCAGTTTTCTCCGGTGAGGTTTCTTCGCCGCTTTCCTCGATAATCTAATCAAAATGAAAGGATATTAAACACACGTCAACCATTACGATCCACAGATAGTAAGTAAGCAACTGTCGCTATGGTGAAGCAGTAGTATTTTTGGCTATCACCATCTTAAAGTATGTTACCACTAACTCGCTTAGTCTATCTACTATTCTTCACGTGAAGCGCCGACATATTACATACTGAAACCTTTTAAATTCGCCAAAGTTCTTGAGTTCAAAAACAATGAACACGTTTACATCATGATAACAAAAACCAACTTAAAAGTTTCCAGTATTAACCTTAAGAAGAGTTTTCGGTACAACGCCTTGTTTCCCGGCTGCGTTTTCAGCTTCCCACCAGCCATCCTCGCTAGAATTTACAACAAAAATAAGAAAGATTTACAAGTTAAAATACTTCAACAGAAAAAAAAAAAACTTTCAACATTAAAGGTGCACTGTAACATCGCTTAATCCTAGTTTAGTCTAAGCATAGTTTCCTTTACGGCCTAAACAAAACCCAGTCATTTAAACACACAAAACCACACATCGCTCGTTCATCGTAAACAAAACATCCTGCTCCCAAGACTACGAAACAAACGTAATCTACGTCACCTTCAACGATCAACGCGCGAGCATTTCTAAACTGTCCAATCACGTGTGATCTAGGCGCGCGCCTTTTCAAGTGGTGGGAAAAATCACTTGAAATCACAATGTTTTGAAAAACACGAGATCTTTTTGTGGTAGAGTGGAACGACGAACTTCTGAAATGTTTCAGAGATTGTTGCGTAAGACAAATACATATAATATCAGATACCTCGTTTTGATAACTGTTAAAATCTCGCCTTTCTTGAAGCTGAGATCACCCTCTTG